GCTAATTTCAGATTTTCTGATGAAGATGTTTCAAAACAGAGGTTCGGTGTTTTTCAATAACTAACTCTCCTTATTCAATAGAATCACAACTTACAAAAAAAAAAGAAATACTACGAATCTATCACTAATTCTTACTTAAGTCTAATGACTTTATAATTAAATTTTTTTATCTCATGAAGGACCAAAATTTCACTCTCATAGATATAGTACGAATAATTCTTGCATAAAAAATATGCATGATTTTCAAAGATTGACCTATAACTTTGCATAGGTTCAGTCAATAATCTTGATTTCTATACTGTAAATACTAGAAGACTTGGCCGGATTTTTTGATATTCACCAAGTCTAGAAAAGCTCTTATTTTGATTATTTTTCATCGAAAACAAAATCGTACTAATAATTTTTGCGCCATCTGCATACTCACACTCATACTTACACGCCACGCACCCAAAACCAGCCATAGTGGACTACCTAATATTGACATTATTTCAAACAAACAAACAAATAAAAGGTACATCATAGAAAAACGGCGTTAAGATGAAAATGAGCAACTCAAAGAAAGATAGAAGAGAAAGAGAACGTAAACATTTTCGCTCTCTTCGTTTTAGCTAGAAGTATGATGCGAGCAGAATCCTTTCTCTTTGATCCTACTCTCGCTAGGCGGACTGAAAAAATATTCTTAAGTATAAATTATGGTTATGCAAATCACATGTTTTCTAAGTTAATCGAAAAGGAGGGAGTACATTCTTCGTTCTACGATTCAAAATGAATATTCAACAAGTGTTACAATCATGACGTTCTTTATTTTAGTTAACCATATTGAAAATTTTTAAATATTCTTCAAATAAAAATGTCAAGGGTGTGGGTAAGATGAAAAAAGCGTGTTCCTATGGGTGTGAGTGTGGGCATTGCTGGGGTGTGGGGTGTGGGTGTTGATGTTGGTATGGGTTGCACCCACGCCCACTCCCACGCTCAGATTCAGATACACGCATCCGCACACCCTCGAACAAAAGTCTATTAGAGGGTTCTCAAACAACTGCACTTGTGGGTATATTTCGTACTTCTGAATACCTGCCAGCTCAACTTTTTCTGCTCACATTCTCAAATAATTTTCAAGCTTGATCGAAGTCTAAAATAACATGACGAAAACGAGAGATTGCGGTATTAAAACTATTCGCTCTGGAAGCATTACGATAAGCACATTCTTCGTTTAACACTCATTAAAAGAGAACGCTTTCGACGAAAACTGCCTATAGCACCTATTTATCCGCACCATCATATTTTATTTTCAAGGACGCGAGTTTTTTCAAATGATAAAAGATTAAATGTTGAATAGGCGTACTTCAACAATGACACTAACAAACCGGGTTGAATATTCATGCTACAGACACTTTATAAGCAGGGCAGCTTTATTGTAGCTTATCATTGGTGTTCATTTCGTGAAGAATTTGGAAAGTTTTTGCCTCCAGAAAAGCAATAACCAAAATATCAAAATAATGGTATAATAAAAAGTGAGTGGTACTATTTGAGAACAAGAACATATGCTCGATACCCATGATCACTAAAGCTTTGTGAAAAGACTATAGTTTCGAAACAAATACACTTATTTGTTGTTTTGTACGAAAAAATGTATGCTCACAAATCGAATAACACTGTAATATATTGACGTTGTTCTATACATGAGAGTAAAGCATTGTGTTGCCTATATATATAACTTTGCAAAGTGCGCTTGCTTTGTGCGCACTCATCCATAAATGCGATGAAAATATACACGCCAATAAAATAAGATATTGCATTTGCTGTGTGGAAAAATTACCTTTCTTTTGCTTATTGTATACTGCCTCGTTCGAGTAGCTTAAGAGAGGCAACACATAATCATTCATATTTTTATCACAATAAGTGTTATGTATAAAATTCACTTAGTTTTTTCTCAATTGTATATAGGAGCGAAAAAAACGTTCTATGGAATATTATTAAAACATATTCCATGGCCTTCTCTTTCAATTACTGAAAACCGTAGATCGATAGCTGTCGTAGTTGTCGAGTTATTGAGCTTACATCTACCTCTCATTAATTCTGACGCGGATATTAGCTGGTTAGTAAGAAACGGAAGCCAGTGGCGGATAGCATGTGAGATTATTTATACTCACAACTTTCTGAAGATTTAAGCGAAAAAATACCAAAAATAGTTCCAGAAATCCTGGTTTCTTCCGTTTTAGGGTATTGCATCATGACAACGTCGTCCGCTAAAATAGCAACTCGCACTTATCAGTTCGACTAATTAGTTTTCAATGTTTAGACATCGATTTTGCCATTATGTGTTGTTCTATTTATTTAAAAATGTTTTTCAAATCGATTATGATTTTTTCAAAAAAATTTAAAAAAAAATTTAAAAAATTGACTTGGTGTCAATGCCATTGAAGACGGTATGTGAGAGAAGAGATAGTTCAGGGATTGTTTTTCGGTTCATATTTCGTGATTAATTGAACAAGCAAGAATATCACAGTAAAACATTTCAGAAATGTGCCATAAACAGAAGAGTTAGTTGATATCTATTCATTCTCTAAATTAGCTTTCTTTTTAACAAACAAGATCATCTGTGAAACCAAAGAACCTATCATTGTTAATGCAGCTTTCATGATCAATGGTTTATCAATGACAAATCCAAAGATAGTTACGATAAAAGTACTTTTATCGACAGCAAATTGTTCAGTCATCGCACTCAAATATTTAATATTCCATTCTTTCACATGTGTTTCACGTTTTGTTGATAGTACGAATACTTCCTTTTTCGTACGCAAGAGTAATACTTCTACATTTTCCACGGCGCTATTGATAATAACAATATTGCATAGAAAAATAATGACAAGAATCATTAGAATACATATATCAATAATTCCTAGAAGAGTTGTCAATGTTGGAAGGCCACCAGGTTGATAATAAATTAGTTGAATAATAGCAACAATACCCAGAATTAAAGTAAAAATGACTCCACCGCCCATACTAGCCATGGCAAGCTAAGCGACAGAGAAAGTAAAAAAAAGCTTCCGACGGAATTCCAGCACAATGAAAATATGCAACACTATGAAGATGGTTTAGTTGTAAGTGAAAAATCGCGTCACTTCTATTAGTCTATGATGGAGGTCATCGGAACATATTACAAAGAGGAAAGAAATGGATTGTTTTGTACTTTAGTATTTCAGGTGCACTAGAAAACCGAAAATCTGAAAATCTGCTTATTCTAACAATCATTATGGCCAAGAATTTTTTGTTACGATCAGTCATGATCACGATTCTGAATTATGGAAGGTTACAATGATCACTGTGAGAATTTCATCAATTGACATTCGTATTTAACTGCATGTAAAGAGTCTGTATTGTTCCTTATCACTCATCAATGCACTTGGTCGATGGCACCAGGCTTTACGCATAATACAGTTGAAGTAATTTCTTGCTGATTTTCGAGAAAATTCACTCATATCCTGAAACTGAATATTCTTTTTTAGAATTGAAGCTTCTCTTGCTCTGAAATTTTGATTACAATCACTTTGTTTAAAGGTAAAATAGTTCACCACTATAACAATCAAGACTGCCTCTAGGCTGTGTTCTCCTGCCATGTGGACATGTGTGTCACGATCTGTGAGTTATGAAGTCAGAAGTTCAATTTTCTCGTTATAAACTTCAATATGTATTAACAATCATAATTCGGAAAAGGCATATCCGATTCGATCTTATCGAGTGTATTCTTACTTGATATGGAAGCGTATCTTTCAGTTTGGTAACATGGCGTAACTGAGCGACGAAAAGTTCAAGATTGCGTTGATGTCTTAAATCCAAAAAGTATTCATTACCACTCTTTTGTGCAACACCATATGGATTATTATTGGCCGGTTCTTGTAAAACGAGCTTGAGCTTGTTGAAGTAAACATAGTACAAGTAATATCCATATAAAATCATTAACAGGTATATGAAATAGAGAGGAAGACCAAGAACATAAAAGCAGATGTTAATAAGTTCAACCTGGAATGGTTTTGTCGTATTCGGATACGTGTAACGAGGATTATATTTACGATAAATTGTTGGTACACATGCACGTACCACAGCAACACCAAGAACAACAATGAGTCCGATTACTTCCAATAATATCATCTTCGAACTCGAATTTTTCTTTTGGTATTGATACATATCGACAAAAATACCTTTGATTTTTATCACAAAACTTTTATTTCGATTATCACTTGATTCATTTTTTGTCGATGGTGAATCCTTTTTATTTTGTTCTATTTCAGCCACTGTCATACTCTGATATTTGCCAGACGAAGAAGGCATATTCACTACAGCTTTGTGTT